ACATGAAAAATTATATTTACATTCTTTGTAATCCACAGTGAGGCTCGAAGCTGCTGTCCGACTCACCACCTCTATATTGTGCGAATGTTGAAAATACACAATTTAGCTAATGCGGTGTTTCCATTAAATAAGAAATGAGTCATTGAAAATCGTGGCGGCAATGGATGTAAAACCTTACATTAGATATATTCATATTTCAGCCATGGCATTCATAGTCATAGTTACCCATCAGAAAACATTGGTGTTTTATTGAGGCGTTGGAATTATAAACTCCTTATACTTATATACGATAATTTGGGGAAATTGTAGTCTGCGATGTTACAGAAGAGCAATACTTTTCAACAACAAACTCAACTTTTGATTAACTTTACGATGCCGTAAGCCAGTTACCCATTGTCCACTGACCCTGTGTGTGCTTTTATGAGGTTTATTTTTAGTGTGGTTTTGGGAACTGACGGTCTGATGGGACAGCTTTCCCTGCTGTCTGACTGTGACATTTGTCGCAGTCCTCCCAAGCATTATGCTAACACTGCGGTAATGTTAAACTAGCGTGTTTTCATTGAGAAAATTTATTTTCGTAATTTTAGTGGATATGCAGCTATTAAAAAGTTGGTAGAAGAGTCTGAGAAGTAACACATACAGCAAATTTCAGACCTCTCTGGCCACACGTTACATCTAGCAATGTAACATTAAAACAAGTTTTATGGGTGTGAATACTTTTTCCAGGCACTGTATCTAGAAGGACATGTTTTTATAGAACAGGGATTCACAAATCATGGTTGTGTGTCCAGACCACTCAATTAACCTGATGTGGACTGACGTAGCTTCATTAAAAAAGACAAAGAGGCTCTGGTGATCTTCAGATTCTCATAGAACACCATTCAGAGAGCTGGCCTGAGGAGCATTTACAACTTTCACTCAAACTATTACCTTGCTGATGAATGGCTGCGGCACCATGACTTAATTATGATTACACAGGAAATGCTGTCCATCCCTAATAATGACCCTGATGGCCATTGATAAAAAGGCCTGATAAACGCAGACTTCCTGAGCACGGCTGGATAAATACAGCCTCGGTAATGAGACCCAAACTGCCGAGGATGACAGCTCTGCTCTATATCATATGCTGCTCTGGTGCTGTGCAGTGGCAGCAAGGAGAACACTGTGTGTTTGTGTCTGCGTGTGTGTGCGTGTGTGTGGGGGGGGTTGCATTCATACTATAGAGAGGTTTTGAAACTTCAGAGTGGGTCCTCTCATTCACAGCTGGCTTTCAGACACAATTTCAGAGACGATGATGAGAAAGTCTCTCGGAGTCACCTGGTTCTGTTAGCGTCGCACTCTGACGACTGAAAGGCAATTGCATCAAATCCATGCGTAAGATTTTGAAGAAAAGAAAAGTTAAATAACTGTCAAAATGATCTAATGCGCTAAAAATATCAGACTAAAGTCTTTTCTGTTGCATAAACCAGTTACCTATCAAAGTTAAGCCATCTTTTGCTCTCTGCTAAGGTGATAACAAGTCAACAGATGTATAACTGAGAAAATACAGTTTACTGTTTGGTGTAACACATAGCTGGGTCTTTATAAATTCGAATATCACAGACACTTTTGAAAAAGTATTGAATACCCTGGATCAGTGTTGGAGAAGTTTTCATCTTTATGGACTTGAACAAATCCTGAGCGTTGTTTTAAACATACCACACCCACAGGGGGCAGTGTAGCACAAAACTAAAACCTGCCAGCCAATCAGATTACATCAAAACAAGCATGACTTCCTGTTAGGAATTAAACATAGGCCAGGAGGTTAACTTGAAAGCTAGGTGCTTTTGAGCTACTTTTAATTGATGTATTAGAAAATAAAATGATTAAAACGCAAGACAATGTCAATAGGGAATATGTCAAAGCCAGTATGTGAATATTTTGGCGCATCATTTATCGCAGACTGTGTGGAACTCTAATTTTTCATTTTTCCATAGACACACAGACACTAATGCAGAGGTTTCTCAAAATTCTACTTGGGTTGGAGTTTTATAAGTGATTGTTCTTAGTTATTTTAAACTGAATTTTTGTGTGAATGAAATTCCAAAACACTGAAAAATGTATTTGTTGTCCCAGATATCCGGCCATGTGTGGCCTGAGACAAAAGAAATGTATATTACAGAGGACTCAACATCAACTTCTTAAACAATTCCAGCTACAGAAGCTTGAATCAGAAGGGGCCAGCTGTCCCATGAGTGTCAATTAGGGTTGATCAACCAGTTCTCCAATGCTTCTTCACTGGATCACCTTTGATAGATAAAAAAAACAGGAACAACCTACAAGTGCTGAAGTGTTGAAGATGCTGTGACCCAGTCATCTAGCCGTCACAGTCCGGTCCTTTTCAAGCTCACTCAACCTTTTAGCCTTCCCATTTCTCCTGCTTCAAACACATCACCTTTGAGTTAAAAATGTTTACTGGAACATGAAAAGTGCAGCAGTGGAACAGTTGAAAATGTAGTTTTCTTGCAACTGGGAGATTGCATTTGATTCTAGCCACCTCCCCAGGGACTGCCGTATGTCAAAATATCCTTTCTCAAGATATTGTAAATGGTTAGAGTTTAACAGTGAATGTCACTTGCAGGGTAAAACAATTTTATGTGGTAAAAATGACCAAATCAGATGCTCTGCAGGATGATGATGCAAAGTTGGGCTGAGTGAAATCTTGAACCTCTCTAGGAAAAAACCCTAAACTTGCTTCATCTTAATGTTCTTATCAAGAATGGAAGGATGAATGGCATATCTGTACCATATACTGAAAGATAGTAAAAAAAAATTGTCTTCCAACCAATGAACTGTGTTGTGTGATTCCAGTAGCTCCACCCTAACAGTACTGTACCATTGTCCAATGAACTTACCACTGAAGGGGGCCCAGGAATGTTGTGGTACAGAAGAAACGGCGTACCAAACGGCATGACTCCTGCCGTACCGCTTGGTGGAAACGAGGCAAAATTCCAGCTCTCCATACAGTGAAGTCTCATTGTACAGGTTAGCCACATGTAACCGATAAGAAAGGTTACTTTAAATACCTTTAATAGTAGATGGCAAGTTAAGTTAATTTACTTTACTAATACCAACACTACAGAAGTATAAAGGAAGTTGGGCCTGATCAGGAGATTCTAAATTCGGGGGAGCCTAGGTGTGAACAACAGAGGAGAGCACACAATGTATATAAAAAAAGTAGAATTTAATATGAACAACATTTGTGGATCCAAATTGTACAAATAAACAAAAATTGTGCGCTTTTTCTAAAAAAAAATTAGCTCATTAGCACATTAGCTCTGACCTACAGAGAATAGAAAGTTCCTAAGTAATAAGAGCACATTACAGCACCATGACATTAACAATGTCGAAATATTAAAACATGTACCAATAGAAAAAGAAGTAAGTTTACATAGGACAAATACAACATACACAATAATAATGATATAAAGTTTACAATACAATTTTATTTTTTATTAAATTTGAACAGGTATTTTAGCCAATTTTTAGCGAATTTACTGGGCCAACGGCTGAGCGCGTGCGATTACTCACCTATGCTTCAATGCTACACAACTACAGGGGATTTTTTCCGGACGTCAGCTGTTAGAACAGAAGCTTTCTGAGATCTAATAAAAAAAAAAAAACAAAACAGATTCACTATTTTGAATTATAAATTCTGAGATACTATTTTAACATTGTCTTACCAATTTCCAGGATTCTTCGTAGAATTTAACACAATCTTACAGGCAATTTACGGAACAACCGTCAGCTCTCAGCTCTCAAGGGAGTTCTTACACGCAATCTGAGCTAAATCTCAACGCTGCAGTTAAAGGGGCAGGACAATCAACCTGATTGGCTGATGTGAAATCAGACTGTGCCAGTTATTGGTTGTTTAATCTGTCACTAAAATCAATCACTACAGGGATATTTCACAGGTTTTAAAGATTTTTAGCACTTTTTATCAATATTTATGAACATATTTACAAACATATTCTTTTTTTAACTTTATTACTTTTTAATCTCGTTGTAGAATAAGATATTAAATCAACATCTATTCATTTTTTACTTGTGTTTTTAACACTGGGTTACACACAGAATAGTCATTTTTATTTAGCTGAAATTTTTATCTAACTGAAAAGATGTAGGCATCTCTCAAAAGATGATTTAGCTTAGTAAACAAGTACATAACAAAATATAAAAAAATATCTGCTTAGGTCACATTTTGTTAAAAAAATTGTTTGCTAAAATTATTTATACCCTTCTTAAAACAAAACGTAAAGAAATTTTAATGATATTTCAGTCCACTCATGTCTGTTCGTGGTTTAGTATTTGTGTATTTTTCTGTGAAACAAGACTCAAAATTATTTGCAGACAATCCATCTTTTCACAGGTTTTTATCCTGGGAAGCCATGTGCAGTGCTAGTTGATGATTAGCTAGTTTGTCCTGAGCTCGATTTACAGATGTTAGCTTCTGCGAGAGTGTGAGTCCCTTTATATTCCTCTGTCACCAGGGGGTCATGAGACTGTGAATGGCCCATCTCGGCCAAATCATTATGCAAATTTTGAATTTTTAAGGCTGAAGGTCTTAAATGTTTGATCAGTTGACATAATACCTACTTAAGGCTAATTATAGCTTGGATGTTATTATGATCTTCCATCTCTCTTTATGAAATACAATGTTCTTTACCACTGCTTTGTTTTACATGTACAATTTATATTACGTAAATAAAATAGGGCCTACACATTTTACCTCACCCAACAAAAAGACTTGTTGAATGCCATTGAAGCAATGTGAATCATGCTAAGCTACAGAACACTAACACTAAGATAACACTCATGATTATCTTAGTGATTTTGGCATTCTTAGACCCTGGGTCATGTGTTCTTGATCACTGAGCTACAAGAGTGTTGGTGTTTTTCCCCCTCTTTAAGTTGATGCTAGCACAGGGTGTGATTAGGTGACTTTTCTTCTTCAGCTGCACAATCTTTCTCTTGCTAAACTCCTTTTGTAGGTCAGTTTTCTATACCCCTCTACATAGTCTCTAATTAGCACTGCTCCTGCACTTTAATTGATTTTTTAAAGCAGTATATCATCTCAAATCCCTTTCAATATAATTAAGGCTTATGTCGGGATAATGCTAAAACGGTGGATCAGAGGTTGAATTACTTGCATAAGGGAGAAAATGATTTCGGTATTGAGTGTGAAGTCATGTCTGACTAAAAGAAAACTCTGAGGAGCATAAAGCAGCTTGACAGGAACAGATAGATTTGTTCTCAGCTGGCATTGATTATAAATGTAATCTTTTTTTCTTAAGGCTTATGACAACTCAGTGAGCACTACCTAGGATATCAGCACACACATACCTGTAAAACAAAGCAATTAGTTGAAAAATGTGAAATTATAGTTGAAATGTGCATCTAAGAAACCACAGCATGTAGGTTAGTTGTGTCAAAACTTTTTTTTTCCATGCAGGCCAAAATGTCAATGGTCAAAAGTTTTTTTTTTTAATTTAACAAAATGGTAAAATCAAAATAAACATAAGGTGACTTTTCTTTACATCTTTACAAATTAAGTATGAAAATGTCAGAAATAAATGTGCAAATCATTATAGATCCAAAACTTTAAAAATGTTTTCCCTTTTTAGAAACTATTTTGGCCTCAATTGAGGAAAAAATAAAATAAAATAAATAAATTTGTCTGTCCTCAGCATAAAAACAGAATTTGATTCAATCTGTCTTTAAAAAGGCTTGCTGTATTTTGTAAACTGTAATCAAAGAATCCAGAATGTGCATTTAAGTAGAACACTAGATAAATGTGGTCTTATTTAATATGAAATTAGAGAAAATGCAAAGACGGTGGAAAGACACATATTTTTTCATATACCTAACATTTTACATTGCAAGAAAATATGTATTTGTCTTTCAAATTTTGCCCTGATTAAAAATAAGTCTTCACATTTGTATTATTCTTGAATTATGGTGCCAAATAAAATCAGGCCATGGGCCACAAATTACCTCCAGACCACATTTTGGACACACCCACTGTAAGACAAGTTACTCCAAGAGAGGAAACACTGAAATGCAATTACTACGATGATCAACTGCATCGCTTTTGTTTAGCAGAAAAAAATAACTTTTCTTGCATAATTACTTGAATCCCATTAAATTCTCAGGCTGCTTCAGCCAGGAACCTCAGTATGTTTCATTCTGATTTTATCTGATAACGTAACACAAAGTAGAGCACAATGTGACGAGGAAGAAAAGAAAAATAATTCCTACATTTTTTACTTAAGAAGATTTTAAATTGTGCCATGCATTTCCACCCTGGGGTATCATTGTATTCAAGATGATACCATGTTTTAGTTTTCCGCCACACAAAAAGTATCTGACCACAACACCTTCTTCCACCAGCTCATGTTTTGAGACTTTTCATACTTTTCTTCTTGCCACACTTCCATAATGGCCAGATTCTGATGGCATTTGATTACAGTGGGTTTTATTTACTGTCATTAAAGTTAAGATGGTTTCCTTTTCCTGGTGCTTCATAATTAAGAGCTACTACTTAATTGTCTTTTACTAGTCTGGTAACAACCAGCACCTTGTTCTGTGGTTCACTTCCTACAAATGGTCTGGACTCTCAACAATTGAGAACAATTGCTTCCTGCATGTATGGACTTGAATTTTACCCAATCCCTAACATTCAGCCATGATGCATGTAATATAATAGTTTGACTCTATGAAACTTACCTGAAATTGCTGAAAGAACTACCTAACTGAGCAAGGTTCCTCTTGATGTTTATTCAATATTTGGAAGCGTAGCCAAAATGGACTGAACTAATTCGTTCACTTCCTCCACTATGCCATTGCCAAAACTACAGGCAATTCTGAAAAGAACACAGAAAATCAACATCGTTCACAACTTCTCCTTCTGTTTACTGATTGGCCCAGCTGAAGTTCATCCAGAGAAATCCAACTCAATGGGAGAAAGCCTAGACAGAGCAATGAAGCGAGATGACAATCAATCAGAATTGTGTAGGGAGGGAGTTGACAGACTTGCCTTCCACATAAAACCCCAACACAAACACTGGTTTGTGGTGGTTATAACATGACAAAATCTGAAAACAATGCATACTTCAAGTATTATGCCTTGTTTTTAGATTGTACTATATCTTAATAAATCCCTATTAATTGTTTAATCTAATTGATATTCCAGATTTTAATCATAGTCATTCATAGTCATTCCTTATAGTACCTCTGCTGTGACCAGTCTTTATATAACTTGCATCGCAGTTTGAGAGTCTGAAAATGTGATGTGGTGTTATTGAGGCTCCCAATAACCCAGGAGCCATAAACACATTTATTACAGACTTACAGTAAATGTGTTTGTTGAAATCTTTATAAATGTAGTCTCCATGGGGAATAAATTATGAGAAGTCTCCTGCAAAGTCACATCTCTGAAACAAGCGTGAGTCTACAGTTCACTTTTCAATGTGTGTGTATATATATATATATATATATATATATATATATATATGTGCGTGTGTGCGCGCGTGTATGTGTGTGCGTGCGTGTGTGTGTACATTCTGTTTCTATTACATTTGGGACCAACAGTGGATTGTATCACCTATGAAAGTTGGATCTAATTGGGTCTTAAAAAAAATGGTAAAAAGTGCCACAGCATTAAGCTCCAGCAATGGAGCCGTCAGCTGAAATATTTCATCTGACCATGTGGTTAACACTGTTTAAGTCTCCAGAGAATTGATGTCCAATTCAGCAAAGGTCTTCCCAAAAGACGAAGGAAACAAACGGTGACATTTTAAAACGAAGCAGACATGCCACATCCCTCTGAAATCTGAAAGCCCCACTGAATGATGGTCACATATCTGGTGTGGCAGAGAAACGCAGCGTGGGAATGACTTGTCAAAGCTACTTGGTTTCATGGAGTTGAGCTCTTTAAAACATTTCAAGCCGAACCTCACAGAGAATCCCCTCGTTCAGACGTCCTGCTGATACACTGTGCTTCTTTACCGCTGACAAGCTGAGTGAATATGCAAACTCCTGTGGTTCAGGGATGACACACATGCAGAACCCCCTCCGCCACCCCCCCCCTCACACACACACCGTGCCTGCCTGTGTGACCACGTGAGTTTGTCACATGGAATCAGTGACTACACCACGGCTCTCTATGGGCGTACAGAGAATCCGTTTATTGATTAAGCCGTAGGATTCAGAGATGGCAATGGACCCATTTGACCTGCTGGCCCTCCATTCCCTGTCGATTTTCCGCGCAAATATTGATCTGATTTGAACATTGTGGCTTAATGAAGGGAGCAATTCTTTTCTCCAATAATTGAAAAGCTGCAGAGAAAGATGGATGACTTGTAGGGGATTTTATGATGGTGCAACATTTTTACAGTTGAATATGCATCTAACATTCGCTCCTGTTGCCATGAATGTCACATAGTCACGGAACAGTTAAAACATACCATTGAATATTCAGTTCTTCATTAAAAATATTTTACATATTGATGTCTAATCTTTTTTTTTGCGTTACATTGCAAAAGTACTGCATTCCCAAGCAATACTTTTTCATTAGCTTGCAACAATGTATTATGAGAAGTTGAACATATGCTTTCTATACCAACTGGGGGGCGGCGCCGATTTATGTTTTCGCATCCACCTGAATAATGTGCAGTTGCGCCACTGGTCACAGGTAAACAGTAGCAGGTAAGGTTTAAACATTCCGCGCCTCCAGGAAGCCATTGTTTCTCAACAGTCGAGCTCCCAGACCATCTGGATGAAGCGCAGCATAGAAAGAGGGGCTGGATTTTACATGCTAATTTGAACTATTTTTGTGTTATTTTCACAGGGTGATATTGATGTTTGGCTGTTTTGTTTGTGTC